GACAATTAGATGGAGTAATTTGGGCAGATAATCTGTGCCATTCTGGACACAGAGGCTATGATTTACCTGCAAGACACTCGAGTTCAGAGGCCTATAATCCAAAAGAACTTGTGAGGTAGGCATTAGGAAGTGAATAAAATCTGGAAATAAAGATTTCAGATTCAACTCCCTATCAGCGATACTCAAAGCCATGAAATTTCAAGAGGAAGAGTACTGAAGAAAGGGGATATCTTTGGACTAATCCCAAAGTTAGAAAGCAAGAAGGAAAGAAGAAACAGCAAGTAAGTTAGAAAGAGATCAGTAAAGTACTATAATGCAATTCAAACATGTGTATAACTTAGGGTATAAACTCCTTCTCTGAGAATTGTACTCTGTGCTGAGCCAGTGTGTCTGAATTCTGTATTGGTACCATATGACTGCAAATGCCACTCTCCCCTTGTACAACCAAAATAAAGACTTAGAATCTTAATTCTCTTCTCATATTCTGCCCTCTAGAGACTTGAGCCAAGACAATGATATAAACCCAAGAATAAGAGGACAGTGGTTTTTAAAATTTTGCAAGACCCTACATACCTTGTACAGAGAATCTTGTCAGTAGCTGCTGATATCTTATTTGGGGTAATATATCCTAAAGGGAGCCACAGTGCAATATGTTGAATGCATTCATGGTTTTTATGGCCATCAAGCTTCTAAGTTACCATGTTTTTGGCTAAATTATTTGTTAGCCAACCCAAATGCTACAAGTATAGGTGTCTCAAACTAAAATTAACAGATCTAAATGCAAGGTCTTAACCATTAGGGTTTCACTTAAAGGCTTATAATAATTCAGAAAAACAAATACTATTGTTCAAATAAACAAAAGGCCAGCATATAAATGAGTCTTAAAAAGTTTCTTCTTGCTGCTGACAGCAGACATTTAAAATTCACATACAGAGCTATATAATATTATAAATGTATACATATAAAAATCGATATTATAAAGATATATATACTATAGATATATAATATTTTTAAAATATTTAGAGCATGCATTTGTTGAGCATATTTTACTAAATATAAAAGTGTCAAAAACATTAATAAAAAGGAAACATTCCAGTCTTATTAACATTTCAGGAAGCTTTGAAGACTATAGCTTCCCAGACATAAAAAATACACAAGCAGCTTCTGTGAAAAAGATGTAAAATAATCTTAATAGCTTGACTAAATCTTCCTAATGTAAAACTTAGATTCTCTTTAATTTTTTCCAGTCCCCTAAAATAAGTATGTATAGTTGATGTAAGTCTTCAAAATCTTTTGATCTTTTCCATCTCTAGATGATGTAGAAAAAGCAAAGCAGACTATACACAATAAAAAAATCTTAGTTATAAAAATATAGTGACAAAATAGTGTGATCTGAACCAGTAATCCTGTGTGTAAGATTGTGTGACTCTCGCTTTGATCCAGAACTGTGTGGACTTCAGTACCTCATTTAAAGGATTTACATGGATTCTTTCATGTGTCTCTAACAGAGCATACTCTGAGTCTCCAAAAACTCACAATTCTAAGGAAGAAAAAATGAAGCAGATATGATAATTCATGCAAGGCCTAAGAAGAAAAACAAAGGTGATGATCCTTCATGCAAGTTAGGTCTGCTTCATCTCAAATACTAGCTGATTCCAGGGACAGAATCTGATTTTTCTTGATACAAGGGGCCATGGAGAGACCAGGTATGTTTTCCAAGTGACTGTACACTAAAGAAAAAGCCAGGATTTTCAAAGTGTGGGAAACTTACTGGAGACTCCCTCCACATTGTCTGTCATCCCAGTTCTTTCTCCCTAACCCCAGGGGGCTGTAGAGAAGGTAGCCTTGGTGCTCAGCAGAGAAGAAACAAGAAGGAAAGAGTGTGGGGGGGAGGAAAAAAGGTGTCTGAGATCAGTCTCAACGCAGATATATACCCCAGGCAAACATAGATAGACGGCCAGGAACACTCAGGCAGTGAAGTCAGTTTCAGTTGTCCCAAACTAGTAGCATCTACAGGTGCCCAGCAGACAGTAAATACAGGATTCTCTGGAGAATGGCACGAACACTCCCCCTCCCCCAAGGACAAGTGGGAAATGATAAGATACAACATAAATGAGAACAAAAATTACAAACTTACCAAGACTATTGAAATTAATCAAACCATTGAAATAATCAAACACAAATTATGAAACTACCATACCTATTCCACAATATGCTGAAAAGTATCTGCAGGCAACCAGGAACCATAAGCCCAAATAGAAGATTTGAAGAAAAATAAATGAATTACTGAAAATGTAAGATATAATTATTAAAACTCAATGGATAAATTTGGTAATAAGGGAGGAAATTAGTCATGTAGAAAACAGATCACATGTTTATATATGTGTGCATGTGAGTATATGCATAAAATGTATAATACCAAAAATACCAAATACATAAAAATAAATCTAACAAAAGGTAGTCCCCCTATAAAAAATTTAAATTTTATTAAGAAAAATTTACAAATAACTATATAAATGGAGAGATATTCCTTGTTAATGGATTGGAATCCTTACTATGCTAAAAATGCCAATTCCCAAATTGATCTATAGATTCAGAAAAATCCAATAAACAATTTCAAGTGCTTGGGGGGGGAATGAGAAACTGATTCTAAAAATAATATGTAGCATATCACTGAAGAAGAACAAATTTGGAAAATCAGTCATGTTAACTATTCCGTGTTATTACTAAATGACAGTAAGTAAGGCAGTATAGTATTAATATAGAAAGAGACAAATAGATCAGTGAAACAGAATAGAGAGCCCAGAAACATACCCATTATATGCAAATACTTGATTTATGCAATAATTGTACTAGAGAAATAGTGGAGAGGGGTGTTCTTTTTACACATGGTGTCGATCAATTGGGTATGTATAGAAAAGAAGGGAAATTAGACCTGTACCTAACACCATTATCAAAAATCATTTCCATGTGTACTACATGAAAGAGAAAACATTAAGTTTTTTAGAAAACAATGTATAAGAATATCTACATGATCTTGTGGTAGAGATAGATTTCTTAAACAAAATACAAAAATGACTAATCATAAAAGACTTAGGATTAATAAGTTCTGTTCACTAAATGACATATATTCTATGATCCAAAACCTTCATTCCTAAGGATATGTGCTAGGATGCTTGTGCAACAGTGCTCATAGGAACACTGTTTATAATTAACCATAAACAGGCAATAATTCAAATGACCAGCAAGAGAAGACTGCATAAATGATTTGCCTTATGTTAATAAAATGGACCAATAGAACAAATGACTCTGCAATGAAAATTATATACTTATACTCAACATCGTGAATAAATCTTAAAAACGTAATGAACTATATTAATTTTCAAGACTTCTGTATGATGAAAGGCACCACAAACACAAAGTTATAAGACGAGCCAGACAGAAAGCATTCATAATAAACAGTCAAGAATATCAAGTATCAACTTAAAAAAGACAACACAAAAGTAAATTGGTCAAACATATGAACAGATAATCCATAGACATAATTCTAATGCTCAGTCTCATTAGTTATCAGGTATTTCAAAAAATTAGTTATCAGGCAAGTACTACTTTTGACCTACTATAACAGCAAATATTAAGAAGTCTGACAATACCAGGTTGGTGAAGATGGTAGAAGTGAAACTCTCACATACTGGTAAGAAAATATAAATTGATTCAGATACTCTGTAGAGCAATAGCATCAAGTTAAAATTTAAAAGCAAGGCATAAAAATCCACTTTAAAGAAATATACAGGTACACAAGGAGATATATACATTAACTTTCACTATAGCGTTAATTTTATGGCAAAATTTGGAAAATAAGATAAATAAAATAAGAATTACTTATTACATTAAAACATTATGCAGCAGCTAAAGTGAATGAAAAATACGTAATTATCAATATGGACTGAATTCAAAACATAACATTAATTTTTCTAAAATCAAGTCACAGATAAATGTGTTATAATATATCTGTGTATGTAATTTATGTAAAGGTATATTATATTTAAATCCATATTGAAATTACAATTTTATATTCACGTGTGTTAAAGCAGAAAAATGAACTGAAATTACATATGCCACAGTTGTTATATTGGGAGGGCATATGGTCAAAGAGCTTCAAGGTGGTGTTGACCTATTCTTCACCAAAGAAAATTATTTGAAACACGCAATATGTCAACATGTAAGTTTTATTATATATTCTATTATTCTCTTTTTAAGTGTTTAGATAATTCTTAAAATCACACACTATTTTTAAATTATCAACAAACTTTGATCTAGTAACTTTTAGGAAATTTACCCTAAGCCAATAATTTGATGCAGAAAAACATTCTATTGTGGCTTAATTTGAAATAGCAAAGGATTTAGCAATGACTAAAATGCTGCGCAATATAGTGGTTATTAAGTGCTTTCTCAGGCATTTCATGGGTTATCATGGGAACTTAAAATACATATATAATTATAGAAAAAATGCTTATTTTAAACAAACACGTAGAATTCAAAATTTTATAAATGATTATTAATAATGAAGGTATTTATGCCCTGGCCAGTGTGGCTCAGTGGTTACGGTATCAGCCCACACGCCGAAGTGTCTCAGATTTTATTTCTGGTCAAAGGCACATACCTGGTTGCAGGTTCGATCCCCAGCCTCAGTTGGGGTGCAGGTGGGAGGCAACCAATTAACGTCTCTCTCTCACATTGATGTCTCTCTCTCTCTTTCTCTCCCTCCCTCCCTCCCTCCCTTCCTTCATTCTCTCTAAAAATCAATGGAAAAAATATACTTGGGTGAGGGTTAACAACAACAACAAAACCACCAAAAACAATGCAGGTATTTATTTAAAAGTAGTAAATTTAAAATTTTTTATCCCTAGTTATATTTATTGCTCACAATTATCTGTACTTTATAAATTCCACAATACATATGGATACACTAATAATACTTTAAAACATTTTAAACTTACTTTGATTTACTACTCCTTCTTTTCTTTAAATTTTGCAAATTAAACCTCAAGATTTTTTCATAATAAGAGGGAGCGATTACTCCAAATGCATTAATCACGGGTGATTTCTTAACAGGCATATTCATGGATCATAAACCTAAAGAGAAATATTACATTGTATATTAGAATACAAATGTACTCCCAGTACCAAATAGTATATTTCATGCAAATTTATTATTTATGGATAAAAGGGTAGCAAGAAGAAAAATCAGTCTTAAGTATGAAGTTATATTAAGGGAGTATTTAAATTTTAACTGTCAGACCTAGGAGTCAAACCCAACTTTGAATCAAAAACCCATCTTCCATCTATTGTTGCTACTATAAAATTAACCTTTCATGTAATATTTAGTCTTTATTGTACTTTACCAACTTATTTAACTTCTCTGTGCCTCAATTTCCTCTCCTGTACAAAGGGAAGAGTACCTTTATAGAGTTGCTGTAAGAAGTTAATAGGTTAATATATGTAGATTGCTTAGAATAAAGCTTGATTTACAGGAAGTTTTACATAAGCCCTTGTGATCATTTTTAGATTACTATGCTTTCTGTTTGTCAAGGTTACTTATAAATTTCTTTTTATGTCTCCAGTCTTTTTGCCATTTAGGTTGTGCTTTCTCTGCTTGCCCTCACATCCAGATTTATTTTCCTGTTGAAGCATGTCTGAGCACATTTTATGGGAGTAAGACCAAAACTAGGGCACACTATTTGTGTTTAGTGGAATATTTAAACAACAAAATGAAGTAACAAAATGGGTAGTCAGAATTATATTGAATTATTTTGCCTTTCATTTTTTAAGATAGCTAATTTTTAACACTCATCATTGTATCAGTCAAGATTCTGGCAGGAAACAGACAACACACTTAAGTGGGGTAACTGAATAAAGAGACTTTTCCAATGACGTGGGCAGTTATTTAAATAAAAAAAGAAAAGACAACCGAGATGGTGTTGTTCTCAGGGGCTGGCAAGAAGGGGGTAAACCATTACCACTCTCAGGATTCCACCCCAATCGTCTGCTGGTGCTTTCCACTGGTGTCCCACAAGAACTGTTAAAACACACAACACCTGACTATTTAGTCAGAGGCACTGACCTCTTTTCCCTTAAATTGTCAAATAAAAAAATGACAACAGCCAACACAATAGTAGTCTGGTGGGAATGAATCAAAATTATACTTCTTTTTTTTTTTTTGAGGTAGGAAAAAATATATATATTTTGGTGAGCTGCATAATTTTAGTAATTAGTTTATGTGTGCCATGAGATGAAAAAGATTGAAAATCTCTAAGCTAAACCAAACTAGAAGCCAGAAGGTGCAGGGCAGAGTGCAGATGAATAGAAAGTAGATCTGGAAAGGTAATGGGAAGATATCCAGCAAAAAATAGATTATAAGCTCAAAACATCATTATCTATTGCTATTGGTTACAGCAAGTTCTGCTTCTAATAGTCTATATCCATTAGAATGTAAAGCAAATGTATTTTCAAGTCAGTAGCTATATTGAGCTATATATAGGTATGTCATTCAGAGTGGACCTAACTTTAATATAAAATACAAGTTATTCCCAAACAGGATTAATATATTCAGGAGTTATTTTTTTCACATCTGCTGGTAACAGGGGTAGATATTTGGACCATCTGCTTAAAATGCAAGTTCTACAACACCCTGCTGATGAGACTTTCCCAGATGGGATGAGTAAAATGTCAAATTGCTGTGAAAGTTTCTTCATGCTTACTCTTGATTTCTGGCTTATTTGGAGAGTACCTATCTTGAGAGTAACAGTGCTTAGCCAACACTAGTTTGTGAAACACTATTTGAATAGTATTTTCATATACAAGAGAGACAACATGACTCCTTAATGTATTTCATTGGATAGAATTGTGTTTTTAACTAAGAATAAAAGAAACGGTAACCAAATAATCTTGTTTCCAAAAAGAAAATATGAATGTCTTCAGAAATATTTCCCAAAGAGGTATTGAATTAAACTCTCAGTGAGATAAATAAAGAGAATAAGATTTTAAATAACTCCCTCTCCCCACCAAAAATAGTCAAAATAGAGAATCTAAAAAGTTAACAGTTTCCACAACATTTTTAATCTTTTTTAAAATAATATGTTTTTATTGATTTCAGAAAGAGGGAGAGAGAGAAACATCAATGATGAGAGAGTCACTGATCTGCTAACTCCTGCATGCCCCCTGCTGAGGATCGAGCCCACAATCCATGACTGGGAATTGAACAGAGATCCCCTGCATCATAGGTCAATGTTCAACCACTGAGTCACACCAGCCAGGCCATTTTTAATCTTTTTATAAGACTATTCTTCATTAAATTCCAGTAGAGTCCAAAACATGAAACTATCAACAAGGAATTATTATTGTTTTTGTTGTTATATGTACAGTAGGATCCAGTCAATCTTCACAGTACTATTATTATCAGTAATAGTATTACATGTGCAGTAGAGCCAGTCAAGCCTTCAAATGACTAGAGCTTCAGCTGAAATCACAAGAGAGACCCTAAATGAGAACTACTCCACCTAAACTGGGTACAATCAACTCCAGTACCATGAAAGTTGATAAAAAATTATTTAACTTACTAAGTTTTAGAGTGGTTGTTGTCAGCAATGGATACCCAGCACACACATTGAGTTGTACAATGAACATCTATTCATTTCACTATATGCAAATTTTGCCTCAATAAAAATAAGATTATAAAAGTATATTGTATTAGAATTAGGTTTAGTGAGATAGAGCAGAAGTAAAAATGACAATTGCTTAGCAACATAGAAGTGTATTTCTTTCTAATGTTAAAAAAAATTCTAAGTTCAAACCTAGACAATTTAGGGTCTGTTTGGCAGTTTCACAGTCAAAAGGAACCAAGGCTCCATCTAAATCTTCCTTTCATGGTCATTGTCAGGCCTCACCTTGCTTCAGGTTGTTCATTGGTTCATGTAGCATCAAATTATTGGGGAGGCACTACTGTCACTCTGTGCTATTGATTTCCATCTTCAAAGGAGCTCTGTGAATTGAGTCTCCTTTTCTTCTCTTCAGCCATTCTCCCAAGTCAGGATGCCATTATCTTTGTCCTAGATTAATACAATGACTTCTTATCTTCCAGTGTCCCATCTGGCTTCCTCTAGTCTCATCTTTTACATGACTGCTAGAGAAACTTTTCCAAACTTAAATCTCCTTATCATTTCATTTCACCCTTCCCCAGACCCCAGACCCTTGCTTAAGACCCTCGAATATTTTCCTACTGCCAACAATAAAATCCAAACTCAGAGTAGGAACTAATCAGTTGCTGGAGCATAAAGTTTGAGTATATGGCTTATATTTTATGTATTGTGTTTTTAAAAAATAGCTAATTATTTTATTTGAAATTAAAAATTTATATATGTGTGTGTGTGTGTGTGTGTGTGTGTATTCAGTTATAAGTTTTAATTGCAAACTTTTCAGGCAAAATATGTTGGGAACTGGATTATCTCATCCATTTGGAGTCTTATACTAGTATTATTAAAAAAAAACACCTATGGGACTATTTTACCAGATGGCATGGGGAGAAAAGTGAGGAAATATAAAACCATGTCCTTTTTGGAAATAGCTAAAAGATTAGAAATGTTTAGTTTGTAAAAGAGAAGTATGGGTGATGGGGTACCATTAATGTATCTTAAGGATGAAGGCTTTACATATGTTTTTAAGAACTCCTCTCCCTTTTGGTCTTGACTTCTCTATTCAGAAAATACATGAATATATATATATACAGCCTTTCTTCTTTTCTTGCCTGAATTTCTCCAAGGCAGAAAGCAAAACTGCCTGAAGTCACTGGCTCCTCTTCTTAAGAAAATAAAAACAAAAAGACTAAGCTCACTGAAAAGATGAGGCTGGGCCCGGCCGGGCGTGGCTCAGCGGTTGAGCGTCGACCTAGGATCCAGGCGATCGGGGTTCGATTCCCAGTCAGGGCACATGCCCGGCTTGCAGGCTTGATCAATGACTCTCTCATCATTGATGTTTCTATCTCTCTCTCTCCCTCTCTTGTCTTCTCTCTGAAATCAATAAAGATATGTTTTTTAAAAAAGAAAAAGAAAAGATGAGGCTGGGTCCCTGTAGGGAAAAAAAAGTTTCCTGGATTATAGAGACAGAGATGTTTCCTGAGACTGGAAGGTAACAGAGGTTACTCAGAGCCATCTCCTCTGTTGCAGCAGTATCTCCTGGATGTGACAGTACCAAAGAGAAAGTGTCTGGGCACTACATCTTGAGAAATTGGACCCCATACCATAGTAGACCCCATAACATAGATCTTGTCCAGGCCTAGTTACAGCCTGAAGAGGTTTGTCAAAATAGAGGGGACCACATAGATGGGACAATTGACCCAATGCCCCGTAGCGCCCCTCCAATGCCTTGTTGATACATAAGCACTGAGGGCTTTGGAAGACCACAGGCAAGGGCAGCCTAACAGAAACTAGGACTGACTATCCAACTCAGTCAAGCCCAACGGAGGCTGGGAGTGTACACAGCCAATGTAAAGAAAGTACGGAAATGTTCCTTGCATACAAGTAAGTCTATCAACTGTGATTCATAAGTACTGCATGCATTTTAACTTTGTAGTAGTAAATAAAATAACTGGCATTTTCTCAGAAATAATGAGTATAAATATAATCCATAATTAATATGAAATAGCAGTATTCAAAATACTGAAAACAGAAGTGTTTAAAGTATTTCCAGATGTTTTAGAAAGCCTTGGACAATGAGGAAAATGAACTAAAAGTACCATTAAAGTTTAAATGGAAACTATTTCCATTCATCTCTCATCAATCACTTACTTATACAGGAAAATTGCAATGAGCTAATACTTCAATGATAGTCCTGTTCTGACTTAAATCTCCTTTTCTCACTGTGGAAGGATTTCAAACTAAAACGGTACTGGAAAGTATGAAAAGGAGAAAATCTCATGCATGTGTCCTCAGTAAAATGAAACTTAAGAACTGAGAGATTGATTCCCCATAAATGCTCGATTTACAGAAAACCAGAGCTTATCTCCTGACTAATGAACATCTAAGAATCTCTCACCATCCTCAAGCCAATGAACTTACTGCTTTGACTTGA